GTGGACCACGAAGGAATGCAAGTCGATGATGCCAATACTCTTAACGTACAAATGAAACAGGGATCTGGGATTCTCAGGCTCCAAATTCGAGGCTTGTCAAACATTAACAGGGGTTTGAATCCTGGTCGCAGGATCGCTCAAGACGCCGGCGCAGATAGCGTCTAGTCGGTTCCGAGCCGATATCCACCATCCGGATCACGGAATTGGGGGCAGAAACCTTCTTCTCGGTCTTCCTTGCCTTTCTTTTCTTTTTCACTTCCTCAAATTTTGGCTTGTGACAACTACCTGCATCTATAGCTCGTGCATAGATCACACAATGGCTGCGGTAGTCTCGGAGATCGTCGCCAACGCCTGCCATCTAGAGCAGGAAAAGGTCACGCATATAGAGACCCTCTTATCGCGATTTGACAGCCTGTCAGCTGCAGAGCAAGACCAGGAACGGGCCTCTTACGTTGCCGCCGTCTTCCCCTTGTTCTTCGGCGCAGCTGCCGTCGTGCACGGGTCCAATGGCTATGAGCCGCAGCGTATAGTTCCCTGGTACGTCTATACTTTGGGATCGACCACCAAAAGAATGCCTTTACCAACAACCGCAATCCGGTCAGGTCTACCAATTGCTGGCTTCAACCTCGGGTAATTGTCCGTCCCGGGTCTGCCCAACAAGCTGCAGCTGCGTTGTCGCTGTGCCGCTTTTTCCACGTCAAGTTCTCCATCCGGGGTGGGGGCCATTTGCAGATTCCGGGCTTCACCAGTAACCAGGACGGCGTGGTGATCTCCTTGGGAGCATTTGATCAAGTCCGGGTGGCTGAAGACAAATCCACGGCACAGATTGGCGTCGGATTGAGATGGTTGGAAGTATATCGCCGTCTTGAACAGCACGGGGTGGCGGTTGCAGGAGGAAGAGTGCCTTCCGTTGGGGTTTCCGGCTTGTTGCTCGGCGGCGGCATCTCCTTCCAGAATAGTCAGTATGGTGTGGGTGCCATGGGCGTCTGCAACTACGAAGTTAGCATTTATCTTCTCTCTTCATTCCCATAAAGGAGTACAGCATCTAACAGCCACTTGTCAGGTTGTCCTCGCCAATTCGCAAATCATCAATGCCAATGCCCACGAAAACCCCGATCTATTCTGGGCCCTCAAGGGTGGCGGGCCCAACTTCGGTACTATACCACCTACAATCACCATGCTCGATGACCAGCAACACCGGCATATACGGTCTTCGTAATATCTGGCAGCGGATTTCTAACTCGAAATTTTGCAGGAATTGTTACCAAGATTGAAATGAACACCATCCCCAACCAAATATGGACCGAAGTTCGTATCTATCCCCTCACGGCAGCCGACCAACTGCGCGCCGCACTGATGCAATACCACGATGCCATTGAAACCGACAACAAGGCATCTCTCATCTGGAACGCCACCAACGACATCATTCTCATCGTCTATTTCTACTGCGCGCCCGTCGAGAATCCCCCCGTCTTCCAGGCCTTCTACGACATACCTCATCTTACTAGCTTCGTGCCCCCAGGTATCCGCACCGTCTACGATCTAGTCCAGGCCGTGGCATCCGTGAATGAAGCTGAACCTACTGTGTATGCCATATTGTTGAAGAATATACCAAAGGAAGAATACCGACCTAACAACTCTCACAGCCACGAATTCCGCACCATGTCCAGCCGCCCTAGTTTAGAAGTCTACAAGGCCATCGAACAAGCTCATGCCGAGCAAGCCAAAGCTCTCAAGGATGTAGAAGGCATCGCCCTGACGACCGTCATTCAGCCTATGTCATCACTAGCCATGAGAGAGTCGCTCAAGAATGGCGGGAGTCCTCTAGGTTTGGAGCCCGTTGGACAGCAGTGTAAGTATAACCTCTACTAAGGAATAACACGCCTTATGTTTCCTCCTGGTAGCTAACACAGCTGACTTGCGGTACAGGGTTCCTCGCCCGAGCTGACTGGAAGAACGTTCAGGATGAAGAACGGGTGCGCGAGGCAGTGCGCAAGATCGTGGATGCGGCAGAATCTGCGGCAAAACGGACGGGTGTGTATCTCCCATACAAGTATTCGAATTATGCGGCGTGGGACCAGGATCCGTTGGCGAGTTATGGTGTGGAGAACGTAAGACGGTTGAAGGAGGTGGCGAAGAAGTATGATCCTGAGGGGGTCTTTCAGACGTTGCAGAATGGGGGTTGGTTGTTGAGTAAGGTTGGAATGGAGTAACTAGATAGGGGCCATGAATAGACAGGTAGGTGGGTAGATGATTGACTGTACATATGTAGGGAGACACAGAGTTGTACGAGAGATTGTGGTTTCCATAGCGATGTGGCTCAGAGAGTTTGGCTCAGAAGTTGCCGGAGCTCGGATCTAAGACATGCATTGGCCCCAGGCATGGGGTCACACTACTCAGTAGCAAACAATTGTCATTCATAACAATTCATTCAGGGTCGCATAAGATTATAAAGACATGGTCTCAACGTGACACATGAGACATCAGGCGGATGCATGAGTCATATAAGAAAGGCATTGACAGAAAATGAGAGAAGAAACAGGATAGAGGCTGTTGTGCCGGATGCATAGACCGTACCAGACGGGAAAGGCTGAAGAGAAAACAAGAGACAAAGGAAATAGAGGAACAAAGGAACAAAGGAAAAGGGAGCTTGAGGATATCAAGAAAAAAACCATTAGAGAAAAAGAACCCCAGCCATGATACCGTTATCCATGCACGCTCAACATAAACAAAGAATTTCAGAACCCAATGACGCTCGTAACACCGCTAATAGACTGTTGCTCCAAAGGGTGCTGTTTCTTTCAAATCCTCGACAAGATCCTCCACATTGTTCAAATACCGGCCCAATAATGCTTGCTTCTCGTCAGTCGTACGTGTATCCCGATGCGCCTTTCCGCCGCTGTGGGCACCGGGGACATTAACACTCCGGGAGGTCGGGGAAACACCAAGTTTACTTGGACTCCGTTGATGTCCAAGGACTGCTGTGTTGGGCGCACTCGCTGCGCTAGTGGGGATCATCGGTGTTTCCGGCATCAGGTAGAAATACAGGAATTCGACGAGTTTGAGCTTGACTTCACGAGATGTTGCACGTTGCTTGAAAAGCGAGGTCACCGTAAGCAGTCCGTCAAGTTCCTCGAAAGTGCGCGTGTTGGCGGGGTGGTCCAAAAGAGCCGTGACCAAGGTGAGAAGGGTCGCAGACTGGATGGCGGGGCAGTTGATTGGATCAAGGAGGTCCAGAAGTAGGTTCATGTAGATTTCGCGCGCGAACAGTGTGCGCGATGGAGGGTGGAGGAGGAGCACACCCTGTATCAGATCGAGTGTGGAGACGATGAGAAGGTCATTGGTGCCATTGCTCCCCCGCCCAAGCAGGTGTTCGAGACATGTCACCAAGCGCATTGCGACTGGTTGCAGTGCATTAGTGTTGGGAACTCACATAATCGCGAGTCGGCGGATAGCGACACTTACCATTCCATTGAAACCCCTCCTGAAGTTTGAAAAATTCCCTAAAGGCCGGATCATCTCGAAGCTCGGCCAAAGACTTGGGCACCGGTTGCGGAGCCCCAAACGACAAAAGGGAACGCCGTTTGTCAGACGCCGGGCGTTTCGTCTTGGATAAACAAATCTGTGCGAGGAGCCCTTCGACCTGCCGCAGCCCTTTGCGAACTTTGCTTGGTTCGTAAGAGGAAAGGTAATCGAACGAGTGTGCCAGCAAAGCCTCCATGAGTAATACAAGGGCAGAGATGATGAGTAGCACGGCTATTTCCAGAAATAACAGGGAAATAAGGAACTAGGTTGTAGGTGAAGGAAAACGGGGGTGAAAAAGAAAAAGACGGGCCGTGATCTGTCAGTCGCAAAGGACCCTGGGCCAAGAGATACGGCGCTATCTATATGTAGTACCTTAACTTAAGAGAGAGGAGCCAGAAAAATAATCGAACACGGCTGAGCCCGGGCGCTTGGAGAATGGGGGCCTTAATTAAAGGCTACAATGATTGGTGAGCGATAGTCGGTGGGCTCGATCAACTAGCGAAGAAATAGTTGTTGTCATCGTGTGAAGCTGATCGAGCCGATTTAGACTCGGTCACTGGCAAGCCTTAGTGACTGCAGCTCCCCCACATCCGACACAAACACCCGATGGTTGTCCCGGAGACGCACGATCGTGTTCCAATAGGCGTGCTACATTCGACGCCATGAAGAACAGGATCTCCTTGATAGCCTTCAGCTAATGATGTCAAGAAGGGGGATCCATTTTTCAGCTACGCCACCAAGTCAATCCCTGGCCAAGATAAAGGCCTGAAGGTTATGAATAATGCCGTCACCCGTTGGGTTGCCAGAGGTTCTTGAAGAAGTCGGTCAGTATGAGAACCAACACGGAAGCAGTCTCCAGAGCATGGAATGGGTGTTTTACCGGCCCACCGACCGTGCCCATGACAACTAAGTACTTAACTACTACTGCTCGTGGCTGGTGCAACCACTCAAACGTCACCACCCCTTGCAGGCGGTAGAATTGAAAATTCCGTCACGTTCGTCACACTGGGAATCACACAGGGAGGGGGAGCTTGGTGTAACTTTAGTAAAGAAGAGGGGAAGTGAGGGAGGGAGCATTCCCAGCTGTCACCGGATCGGAGTTTCCCAGTTTCGCCGACATGGAAGTCATGTGACCTCAGCAGGGGAAAAGCAATAGCATTGCATGTGATGCTCCTCGTCATTTGGCCGATTTCCCCGCAGCAGAAGCTCTCTTGAGAGAGCCTTGTGCAGCCTGCAATATACCCCTTTCAAGTTGGTTACTTTTGCCTTCATTCTTATGGGACACGGACCTTATTTATTGCGGCTGTGCCCTTCTTCCTGATTACCTGTAAGATGGGCTTGCTCACTCCTCCCCTTTCTCACGGTTGCCTGGCTGTTACAGCATTGCCCGCTCGCCAAAAACCTCCCCCTCTCTGTTCGTGACGAGACCCAGCAATCACCCCCCGTAAAACACGCAAGCGATTAACACTCAAACCATGTCTGCAGGACCCATTCCTGAAATCTCTGCTAGCGGTCCTCCTCACCCCGAATTGTATTTTCTCGCAGGTAGTTCAATTGACGGCACAGGCGCAGCTAGCCTGGGAAAGCCAGATCTCCTGGTGAGTCCGGCCATGGATCACGCAAGCTCAAACGATGATGGGCTCGCCACAAACACGAACCACTCGCGCATGCACAATCGTAATCGCTCCAGTGTCGATGGAACCAAATACAAGGATGGACAATGGTCGCCTGAAAATGAGAGAATTGTCATGGGGCCGTACGACTATATGCTACAGCACCCCGGCAAGGACATACGGCGGCAGCTTATCAACGCCTTCAATATGTGGTTGAAGGTACCTCCGGAGAGCCTTTCAATCATCACAAAGGTGGTGGCCATGCTTCATACTGCATCGTTACTGTAAGCTCTCTACATCATGCCTCGGTTTAGTCTGGACACCTACCTGACCTATGGCGTATGAGCCAGGATCGATGATGTCGAAGATAACTCCATTTTGCGACGAGGTATCCCAGTAGCCCATAATATATACGGCACCGCGCAGACCATCAACTCTGCGAATTATGTATATTTCCTCGCTCTGCAAGAGGTGCAGAAGTTGAACAACCCCGCTGCGATCGACATCTACGTCCAAGAGTTATTGAACCTACACCGCGGTCAAGGAATGGATCTCTTCTGGCGAGACACTTTGACTTGCCCCAGCGAGGACGAATATCTGGAGATGGTCGGTAACAAAACTGGTGGTTTGTTCCGACTTGCAGTGAAATTAATGCAGGCCGAAAGTAGCTCCGGCAAGGACTGCGTGAGCCTCGTCAACGTCATGGGGCTGATTTTCCAAATCTGCGACGACTACCTCAACCTGTCCAACACTACCTACACCAAGAATAAAGGTCTTTGTGAAGACCTCACGGAGGGAAAGTTCTCCTTTCCCATCATCCACAGTATCCGCTCCAACCCCGGAAACCATCAGCTCCTCAGCATTCTCAAGCAAAAGACGAAAGATGAAGAAGTCAAGTTGTATGCAGTCAGTTACATGGAAAGCACTGGCAGTTTCGCGCACACGCGGGACGTGGTCCGAGAATTGCGAGCCAAAGCACTGACCCTAATCCAAGCGATCGATGGTGATCAAGCAGATGGACGTGAGGACGGCGCCATGGTCCGGGCGATCCTCAACAAGATCACCGAATCGACACTGGGGGAGTGTGGTCCCCAGTAAGTTCGACGGACGATGATCAAGCGTCCATGCTCGGAGGTTATTCGCCGCCATCCCTGGTTGGTTGGTTGGTGGATTGCATGGGACCTCGTATTTATGCAGGATGTTAAAACTTGATACCTTTTAGCCTATCGATCAGATTGTCTTATGATCTGAAACATTCAATCATGGCGATTCTTAATACGAACTTTGATTTGCTTCTTTGCTTCTTGTCTTCTAGTCCGTAACAAAAAGAAACCAGAACATGTTAATCACCGTCTAGATAGTACCGAATCCAATACACAGCCCCGGGGTATATGTAGTCTTCCGCCAAATGCCCAATTGCGCGAGAAGTCCAATGATCGGTCGTGTCTGCCCACGCACCCTTCTCTGTCTATTCCAATCACACATCAGATCGTATCATATATAGGCCAAAAAAGTTACTTTTTTGCCCAAAAATTGTTATGTATCCAAGCGCGAATCCCTCTTCACATGACCACACAGCAAGCCTTCTCCAGCTTATTGAGAATCTTAGGCAGAACCGCATTGACCACCTGCTCGATCTCATCCTGGTTACCCGCACCCTGTTGCTGTTGTTGCTGTTGCTGCTGAGAACCAGAATACTGCTGCTGTTGCGAACCGGGATATTGCTGCTGTTGCTGCTGATGCGGGTGAGCATAGGTGCCCGATGGATGCTGCTGCTGCTGAGGGTATTGCTGATAGTGAGGATGATTGGGCGTAGGCGCAGTCTCCATATCCGCCGGTCCACCAGTCAGATTGACATAAATGCGCCCAGCATTTTCCTCAGTCGCGTACTGAAGACCAAGTTCCTGACAGACTTGCTCTACTCGGGGCTTGATTTTCTGGATATGGTTGGCCGAGTGGTTTCCTTTGCCGACGATCCTATTGAGTGGCAGAAAGTTGGATGATTAGCGATTTGTGTCGAGAGTAAGAAAGAAGCCTGTGTAGTGTGTAATGTGAAAAGGAAGCTTACACATGGAGATGATCCTGACCGTGCGCTTTCGCATACTTGATCCTCTCCTCGAGGATCTCCTCTGCCTCTTCGACGAATTGTCCGTGCAGATCGATGGTGTCTGCTGCGACGCGCCCGTTGGCGTTGTTCTCACGGAAGATGAACTCCGACGCTTGCTTGTTGTATTCTTCCATCTTGCGACCGTGGGCTTTGCCTTGTTCGGAGAGCTCTTTGGCCTTGGCGCCATCGCCGCTAGAGTAGGCTTCTTGAGACTGACCATTGAGTATAGATTAGTTGATTGTTCCTTTTGATCTGGCAAGCGGCTGGGTGGTTGCGGCAGTGGTTGTCAATGGCGTACCCGTTGGAAACATGAGTTGCGCTTTGAAGCTTCTTGTCGGGCTAGGTTGCGGAGACGGTCATATTCGGCCTCTGCATCTTGGCTCTGATCGTGACTGAAGGCTTCGGTAACGGTGTGGTTAGTTTATTGGAGATTGTGGCTATGAAGGTCGGAAGGGATCTTACCCCGAGGGCCCATGTAGGACATTTCATGCTCATGCATTTTGACGAAAAGGGGTATCTAGCGGAAGATAGAGGATGCTATGATAACAAGAGGGCGTATCTGTGACGGATAGTCAATCCGTACGGGTATAGTCTGTATGCGATGCCCTCGGTCGCAAAAAAAAGTGTAGCGCAAAGGCGAGGCTGTGAAGGAAGGCCGATCGCGCGAGTGGATGTTGCAGTCCCTGAGAGATGGATGGATCGGGGATTGGATCCGTGGATGGATCAGTGGAGCGACGATCGGATTGGCCGATGAGCCAGCCAGGGATCGTGGGCGGAATCGCACAGGAAAAAGGCTGGGCTGGATTGGAGATCCATGGTCTCCTCAGTTCATTCTTAGAATCTTCATGCGGTAGGCGACAATCTAGTTATCGGGTTGGAGTTGAGTGTCTTACTCTGCACGGTCTTCCTCAATTACTCCTTCGTATTGACTGGATGCACGGTCAGCTCACCCCATCACGAGTCACAACGGACTGGGACACTTTAGAAGCCTGTCAGCCCATTTCCGAGCTTACTGAGGATCCTGCCGACCATCATCATCCACCAATCCCTTTACCCATTCGGCATTCTTGCAGCTGGACCCAGAAATCATCATCGTCACCTCCATCGGTTACTGCTGAGCACTGACCGTATTCAGCATTTCTCCCAGGCTATACAACCGAGTCAGTAAAACCGTCTACATAATAAGGTGTCTACGCCAAGGTCACCAAGCCAGTGAAGAGTGGAAACCAAGTCAATAGTCTGGCCATGCTCCATGCAAAGATGGGGATTAGTCCATTTCGAGCTGCCTTCTTAGGTTATCGGTCGACAGCGGCAGGAGTTCTCAATTGAAAGTATAAGCAGTCGCGACCCTCCAGGGGATATACTAACTATGTATAACTTGGAGTTATTCATCATAATTAGTAACTATAACCCAGAGTGGTAGGAGAGGACATGTCAGGCAGCTCGCCACGAGGCCCTTCCCCTAGTCAAAGGGGTGAAAGACGTGATGTGATGGTAAGGAGACGACAATCATCATGAATAATAGCGTGGGCGGTAAAAGCAAGCGACTAAGGCGACTAGACAGTGGAGAAGTTGGTCTCTAGTCAAGTTGCAGAACCACGGATTTCGGTTACCAACTTCCATTCCAGCAAGCAACATCTGAGCAGATTCATCTTGCACGATTCAGGCGGGTCGTTCCGCCTGTGCATGTCCGGTGGTTGTGGGAGGCAGCAGTGGCTGAATCCTTCTTCATCCATGGGAGTTGTTGTCACAACATGAGATGATGCGATGGAAGAAGTGCATACTAAAACCAAGAGGTCGCCACTGGACGAAACCACAAGCGTGTATCAGATGATATGGTGAGCAGCGAATGGGTCTTTGTGAATGCATGCTTCTCATCCAATTTCTCCCTTTTGTGCGGAGAAGCGATCGACGGGCAGTTGCAAGTGGAGTTTTACCATACGGTACCTGGCCGTAGGAACAGGAACGACAATATTCCTCCGTACGCTAATGTCCATCCCAATCTTGAGGTCATCCACCTTTTCATTCTACATGGTAGAGCTGCAGTAGTAGCCTCCGCTGGAGTGCATTCTACCCCGTATAATCATCACATTAGACATGCATGATTATTCCGCCACGTTTGATTCCTCAGAATGTTCTGCCTATGAATAGACACAAAATGCGTCACTGGCTCTATCAGCTCAAGCCTCGCAACTCTCAAGACATTCTGGAACAAGCCAGCCGACCGCGTAACCTTGTGTGATGGCGCGGTGTACCTGGCGATCGGGCGCTGAGCGTGCCGGACCTCCACCGCGTGGTGGGCACCTGAAACTGCAGGCGCCCTTCCAGGTTGCACCCTTGACCAGGTTTAGAAACGGTCGGCTACTGCGAACTGTGGACGATGTCTTCTGCTGCTGCTGCTGCTGCTGCTGCTGCTGTCGTTGTCGTTATTACTGCTGCAGGATTAGTCTAGCCCGTTACTGATGATTAGCAGAGACGAGAGAGATCTAGGATTGATTTCGTCACCAGTGGAGGTTAGCGCTTAGTATGATTTGAAGAGTTAAAAAAGGCCTGATGGGCTGGCTGTCGAATAGTATCCCGGTCGCCATGGCCATTGCCTACAGGTGCGCACTGCAGATCTGCGTCATCCGGAAATTAATTCATGCAACTGAATCATTAATCATAATATCTACGGCAACGACAGCCCTGAAAACTTAGTAGTTTGCAACTCTATATAGGATCCGGGTTTGGACCTCTTTGCTGTCTCATCACTGTATCATGCCTGTCTTATGCTGCCGACTGACAGTATCTATGACGCAGAGGATGGTGTGGTAGTAGATAGTTGTAGTCGTGTCTGGGATGGGCTTTTCGGGACTAAAATGTAAGAGACTATGCCTCTTCTGAACTGTGCTGGTCTTACCATCGGGAGAAGAATCCCATTTGGAGCACAACAAACTTCGTACAGAGCAGACTCCTAAGTCAGAGAAGAGCCGGTCGTCGAAAAAGGGGAAGGCTACTCATTAGAATCGCAAGGCCATTGGATCGTGCTGGTTTTTCCTCCACTGCCACCCCTTACCAGCAGAGCCAATCAGCAGTCTATGACTGGGTCGCCATCGCATTTACCAAACGAGACGACTCCACTGCCCCTATTGAAGTGGTCCAGTCATCGTCACTCATAGGTTGGAACCGGGCCAGCTTATCGTTCCAGAAAAAAGCGGGAATGGTCAATGGCAGAAAGAAGGAGAAAAAAGGGAAAAAAAGGTTTATAAAAATTTTATTTGGGGAAAATCAAAATCAAAAGCGAAAAAGAAGAGGAAGAACCTTTCCTCAGGCTTCACCCCCCCCGATACTCACTTGGTACTAGAATAGTTTACTAGTAGACTAGCAGCAAGCAGGTACCGGCACCCGGTAAGTAAGTAGTAGTAGTAGTAGTAGTAGTAGTAGTAATGGAGTCGGCGTATCAGCCTGCTGCGTTCTCTCTAGTTCATCCCCTCTTCCTCAGACTTCCCCCCAATCAATCCCTCCTTTTCCCGGGTTTTTGTCTGCTCTCCAGGCTAGTTCCCTCACACACGCTCTCTCGTTGCTCTTCATTTTTGGCACGCTCCCGGGACTGCCTCAGGATCTCATCTTGGCCCCTCTTTTTTCCGTTGCCCGACTCGCTCACGCTGAAAGTCTGCCCCCCCTTACAACCTGTTGAGCTTAATCCTTTCCCTCCGGCCCTTCAGCCTCGCTCGCTTTACCCTCTCTCTCTCTCTCTCTCTCTTTTCTTTTCCCTTTCGATCTCTTGTCTCATCTATTCCCACACCCCCTCCTCCTCCTCTTCTTCTTCTTCCTTTCTCCTCCTTTCAAACCCCAACTTTTTCACGGATCGGGATAGAACCAGCATCTCCCTTTAGAATCCCTGGGTTTACTTCGTCCATTTCTTTTCTCCATTATTTTACTTCTCCTTTCGCTATCCTCTTCAGTCCAATTTCTCTGGATTATCCTTGTTGAAATCACCGCGATTGGTGTATTTCCCTGTTCCACCTTCCTTTCGCCTCCTTTCCGCCTACTAGTCCCAGACGCTCCGCGCTTATATTTGATTTTTCCCCTGCCGCCCGTTCCTTTGCGTCCGCTTGGCCTTTAGTAATAATATCATCCCCGGTTTAATTCCATTCTTCTCTTTTCTCCTCCTCTCAGTTGGAGTTTGATATATCAAGTTTTCGAGCAAAGTGAGTGGCCCTTTTCACCTCGTTGTTCCCTCTTCCTCCTCGCGCTTCCTCTCTGCCCCGGAGTCCCTCCCCCATAGTGGACGGTGCTCCCAAGCCTTCCGGTTGATGCATCAGCTGCACCTCCTTGCGTCAGCACGATCTCTGGGCCTGGGGAGACTGCTGCCTTTTGGTTCTGATCCTCTTCCGACACTCAAAAATCAAATCGTGCATCGTTCATTCGATTGTTTTTCTTGGGGTGTCCGATAGTGGTTCTTTCCGCGTACACCCACGGTCGACGGGGCAAGGGGCTGGCCGGCTCCCAATTTTACAATACACGGAGAATTCGCTTCCATGGCTGACTGACATCTTTCCCTGCGGACAGGCTCGTTACTCTTGACGTTCACTACCACCCGCCCACCCAACTCCGTCCCCCCCGCTACACATTAGACTTTTCATCCATCACTCCCACGTTCATTAATCGCCGCCAAAATGGGTTGTGGAATGAGTACTGAAGACAAGGAGGGCAAGGCCCGTAACGAGGAGATTGAGAACCAGCTCAAGCGGGACAAGATGATGCAGCGGAACGAAATCAAGATGCTGTTGCTAGGTATGCGCTCTGTCTCTCTCTCTCTCTCTCTACCCCCATGCAGGTTTCGCGCTGGGACGCAAGATTAACGATGTCTTGAACAGGTGCTGGAGAGTCCGGAAAATCGACCATTCTCAAGCAGATGAAGCTGATCCACGAGGGCAGCTACTCCCGCGATGAGCGCGAGTCCTTCAAGGAAATCATCTACAGCAACACCGTCCAGTCTATGCGCGTCATCTTGGAGGCTATGGAGTCGCTGGAGCTCCCTCTGGAGGATGCTCGCAACGAGTACCACGTCCAGACCGTCTTCATGCAGCCTGCTCAGATTGAGGGTGACAACCTGCCCCCGGAGGTCGGCAATGCCATTGGCGCTCTGTGGCGCGACAGCGGTGTTCAGGAGTGCTTCAAGCGGTCTCGTGAATACCAGCTGAACGACTCCGCCAAGTAGTAAGTGCCGCATCTGTCTCGGGCTCGTCAGGAGCCTCTGTTAACCGATTTCTTAGCTACTTCGATGCCATCGACCGTATCGCGCAGCCTGACTACCTCCCCACCGACCAGGATGTCCTCCGCTCTCGTGTCAAGACCACCGGTATCACCGAGACTACTTTCATCATCGGTGATTTGACCTACCGCATGTTCGACGTCGGTGGCCAGCGTTCGGAACGTAAGAAGTGGATCCACTGCTTCGAGAACGTCACCACGATCCTTTTCCTGGTCGCCATCTCCGAATACGACCAGCTGTTGTTCGAGGACGAGACCGTCAACCGTATGCAGGAAGCGCTTACCCTGTTCGACTCCATCTGCAACTCCCGGTGGTTCGTCAAGACTTCCATCATTCTCTTCCTGAACAAGATCGATCGTTTCAAGGAGAAGCTGCCCGTCAGCCCTATGAAGAACTACTTCCCCGACTACGAGGGTGGTGCCGACTACGCCGCCGCCTGCGACTACATCCTCAACCGCTTTGTCTCTCTCAACCAAGCCGAGCAGAAGCAGATTTACACTCACTTCACATGTGCTACGGATACCACACAGATCCGTTTCGTCATGGCCGCAGTTAACGGTATGTTCCGCACACTCATCGAACCGTTTCATGCTCAGATACTGACTCTTATTAGACATCATCATCCAAGAAAACCTGAGACTGTGTGGTCTGATCTAATGACCGGTATATTTCGCTCGAGTGAGAACTTCTCGACATTTAGACCGTATGCTATGTGACTTGTAATCTTGTCTGTTTTGCTTTTTGCCATACCATGTCGCACTCTGTTCTTTTTATTCCTCCCTTTTGAGAGATCCTGGCGTTGAGACATTCACTTGTCTATTTTACTAATTCCCTAT